CCCCTTTCCTTTCCTCCCTTGAGAAGATGTAAGAACTAGGAACTAAGGAATACAATGTCAGGTAAAGGCAAAGCAATTACAAGGATGAGAGAAAAGAAGTCTCAGGATGACAGCTGTAACATAGGTCCAGATAAAGGGAGAATGGAGGTCTGTAGGACTGCCAAGAAAATTAACGGAATGGATAGATCCTTTCATGAGGAAGTCAGAAGACCAGGAGGTTATTAAAAGGTATAGGAGTGAATACCAAACAAAAGAGGCGGTTGGGGTATAGCTCAGTGGTAGAGTGCATGCTCATCATGCACAAGGTCCTGGGTTCAATCCCCAGTACCTCCGTTAAGAGGAGGGGAAGAAAAAGACTTGAAATATAATACAATGGAAAAAAAAGAAAGGCAATCATTAACTTCCAAGAGGGAAAATGTAAGGAAGGAAAAAGTCAGAATACTCTACAATGCTCAGCTGGGAATACTAGTATAGCAATATTATAATAATGTAATATTTATATATTACGTAATATTTATATATTATTATTAGTATTTATAACAATGTAAACACTAAATACTAACTAATTCTAAAATTTGTGACATCATTATATGGGGGGACACAGGAAGGAAGGCTGAGGGGATGGTTCCTCTACCGTAGTGTGAAATCAGTAGATGAACCAGAAGAATCAAAATAATTCATTTCATACACATATTAGTTAGAATCATAGACATGTAAATGTCAGAAAAAACAGTTTAAAAAAAAAGTTGCCCCTAGGAAAGGAATGGAGGATGAGGAGAGTAGAAACCACTGTGTTTTGGCACAAGCCGCTGAATACTATTTCACTCTTTATAAATATTATGTGTGTCCTGCATTGATAAAATAAAAATTACCTAAAAACTGTTGTGGATTTTAAATTCTATTTACAAGGCAACAATATTCTTTTCCAACAGCGGAGTTCAACTTTCTAGGGAGATTTCTGGAGCAATTTGGAAAAAATTCTGAAGAAATTCGGTAAGGTGGTTTATTAGTTCAAGAGGCCCTACAGAAACAATGTGTCTTTATCTAATTGTTTCCTTATTTTCTGAGGTTCAGACTGAAAACAAATTTAAAAAATTGCACGTTGCTTAGTAGCAAAGAAGAGACAGGAGCATTTACCATCTGGCTATGAAAGGAGCCAGGGCCCTTAAGTAATTTGTAGAATGTGGTACCCTTTACCCTCAGAGTCCTAGCTATCAGCCAGTCAATTAATTACAGTATTTCCTAAGATCCTCTGTTCTAATATCCACCATCAACTGCATAACAGCTTTGAGGTAGGAGGGTGGGGAAGGATTGGCAAGCCTACTTTGACCCGAATTGCAAATAGCACCCCAATTACAGAAATATTAACATGGGAAGACCATGCATCGCTCAACTGAGGGATACTTTGAAATGCCCTGTTTTCTGGTCTTGTTCCACACGTCCCACCTTGGCCTGATGGCTTTGGTATTTATGTACGTCTGTACAGTGAATACACCACCCAGAGTCCCCTCCAGGACTGAGGCCCTGGTTCCCCTAGCTGTCCTGAGTGTTGGCTGCCAAGAACTTTTAACTGAGTCCCTCCCTATGATTTGCCTTTGGTTCAGAAGAGCTACCTTTCCCGAGTTCACACCTCTTCTCCTAACAGCTCGCATCCAATGAGCGGTGGGGCCGGGGGAGGAACGCCAACCCTTTGAGGGCACTTCCAGCCCCAGAGCTGCGGTGAGGTTGGCTGAGGCCGTTTTTGAGACTGCCCGGCAGCTCAGCCTCTCCCTCTGCCCAGTCCTGCTTGCTTCCCTTCCCTCCAAGGATGCAGATCCTGAGAAAGCTCTCCAACAGAACCCCAGGATGCAAATCTCCCCAGAGCCAGCCTCCAGGGATCCCAACCTGGGACAATGTTTAATTTCAGACTTTGGCCTTTCCTTTCATGCTAAAGGTAAGAATTCTGGTATTTAAGTTTCTGTGTTTTTTGTTTGTTTGTTTTTTGTTTTGTTTTGTTTTTGTTTTTTTGATGGTTGGTTTGTTTCCAGGTGAGTGAAATAAAATAAAGGCCTCAGTTAATAGTCAGCATTAATCCAAGTCTCGGGGATTATAATTCAGCTCCAACGTTGTCATGTAGGATTTACGCTCTTGCATTTCTTCTACTTAGATCACAAGTCCATTCTCTTGAATGTGGATCCATAAGAGAACCATATCAGTCTTCTTAAGGTCTTCAGAATGGATGTTCTCGTATTTAAGGTTTTTAAGCCTGATAGGATCACCCCTGTGTGTGTGGAAATGACACCATCACACACGAAGTCTTGACTTACTTCCTAAGGCCAAGGACTGGTGCTTTTCCAGGTCAAAGCCCACAGCAAGGCTTTTTGACCACACGACTCAGACGCAGGCTGCAATCTTGCTTTCCTCCTGAGCAGACACCTCCCTTCCATGAATTGCTTACTGCCCCCTAGCCTCCTTGTCCTCCACGTCAAATGAGGATAAAGGAGAGAATGCTGGGAAGTATTTAGCCCGGGCCTGGCACACTGCAGGGGCTCGGGGATCTTCCCTTCCCGTTCCTGTCTCCTGTGCCCGACCCTGGGTTGCACCATGTCCCACTCACTCCTTCCCTCTGAACATCCTACACAAGACCAGGAAGATGGGCTCAGCGCAGGTGCTGTGCAGACTCCACCTGCGGCCTCAGGAAGGACGGGGCGAGACCAGCTTTTCCAGGTGCGCCAGGCCAGGCGGGGTGCAGCCTGGCTCTCACCCCAGCCCCGGGGAAGAGGCCACTGCATTCAGTGAACCCAGAGGCCCCGAGGGGGAGGGCTCAAGCTGCCTCCCGTTCCCTTGGGAACTGGAGGGGGGTGTCAGGATGCATCCCCTTTCTGCGCTCAGCTGGGAATGAGCTGGTGGAGAGTTTCCCCTCCAAGCAGAGAGAGACTGCGCTTCCCCTCCCCCGCCCCCACTCCCGCCCCAGCCCACCAGTTCTCTGGGCAACTCTGGTTTGCAGTTTGGGCCTTTCTTTCTGCACACAATTGACATGGAGAGCCCGGGTCTGGTCCATTCAAACACCACATGGAACACTGTTTTTGTCACTCAGCTTCTACAAACATGAGCTTATGCACCAGAGGCAAAATCAAACTGGCCAGTTCTCTCCCAGTGAGTGCTGGCGCTTCCTCCCGTGGTGCGGTGTTTTCTGCAACTTTAAGATTGAACCTTCTACATTATTGTTCATGGGGGCTCCTGTAGACACCGAGTTCTGGTTCCTTTCTCCCCCTGATGCTGAAAGGTTCGATTCTTCCTTCTATCCATCAACAAATCGCATTGAATGCCGGTGCTCAGTGACCCAGGATGCCACTGGAGACAAAACACACCACACATATTTTCTGGTCTCCCTGGAAAATCAGTGCCAGCAGTTTCATCACTGCAGAGAGGGAAACACGCACAGAGAGGTGAAGATCTGCTTTGGGGTTTTTTGTTTGTTTGTTTTTCTAGTAAGAGATTTCTCCCTCCTCCAAGCAGTGAAATTCACATTGTCCCGATTTGTCTGCAAATTGACCAGTTAACTCGAATTCCTGCGTGTCTCACATCTCACGCCCTTTCTCCCAATCTCGTGCCACACGTATTCCAGGCTCTCTATGTGTCCTCCTCCAGTGCTGTTTGAAATTCGTCTCATTGTCATCCGGCCTCGTTAAGAGCAGCACTGAAAACATTTTAATTCGAAGTCTTATCCCCTGTGTCCCTCTTTTTAAAGTCCATTTTAAAGAATCCTCTTTTGTTAAAGAACGGCCTGTTTTTAATTCGGTTGGAAAACTGGTTGGGTCGCTCAGCCCTTTTTCTCTCTTCTGCTCAATTTTCCCTTTTATGAAGAGATACAATCTTGCCCTCTGGAATGAACCAGGAGGAGACCCAGGAGCCCTGGGCCTCGTGGAAGCCCTCACGTCGTGCTGGGTGTGACGCCGCCCGTCCGTGAGGTGGAGAAGACAATTAATCTCTTACTACACAGCAGTGGTGCCTGACTGCTTGAAGATGAAAATGTTTGTGTCCAGGGTGGTCTGCTTAAAACAGTTCCCACAGGATGCGATGCAACTTGAAAAGGAAACTCTTTCAGATGAGTCACTCATTTAACAATAATAATTAGCATTTGGGACTCTTGCTTGAACACCCAGCAGAATATTTTATTGATTCCTTACGCGTTTCCACACTCTGACTGGGATCTCAAACAAGGCAACGTATTAAAGACTAACATCCAGTCTCATTTGTAGGACTCTGGAATGGGGGAGGCCGAGTTTAACAACTGTTCAAGAGACAAGGACTTAGGGGATTTAGAAGACTTCAAACTCAGAATATCCATCAGGGGGACCAAGCTGTTCAAAATGCCAATAAAATGTTGGGATGCATTAATAAAAGTGTAATATCTCAAACAGAGAAAGTGATGGTCTCATTGTATTCTTTCACCATCAGGTCATATTTAGAATTCTTTTTCAGTTATAGGTGGTGAATTCTAAAATTTCTATTAGTAAATAAGAAAGCATCCAAAGAGGACAATCTGAATGATGAAAAGTCGGGAAACCATACAGATTATCATACCTAGAGCATCTAGGAGAACAGGGTTCTGGGTTAGATGGAATTGGGTTACAGTCCCCGCTCTGTAACCTACCAGCTGTGACCTTGGGAAAGCTCTACCTTCATCTTTAAACATGGAATAATAATAATAACAGAACCCATATCTCTAAGTGTTAACTAGATTACTATGTGTTGCTATGCTCATTTCTTGAAAAAGAAGAGCCCCTAGACTGGCCAGCAGGGGACCCTTGAGCAAGTGATTCAACTTCCATGCACATCAGTTTCCTTAGCAGAGAAAAAGACCCTTCCTGGATCAGGCAGTTCATGAATCAGATGTGTAAGCACGTGAAAGTTCCGTGAAAACACTAGGAAGTGCCCATAACAGTACTGCTAAAGTAATTTCAAAGCAGATGACACTAGTGTTTTAACATCGAAAACGCTCCAAGTTGGGGAGGTGCGGTGGTATAGCTCAGTGGTAGACCGCATGATTAACACGCATGAGGTCCTGGGTTCAATCCCCAGTACCTCCTCTATAAATGAATAGAGAAACCTAATTAACTCCCCTCCTCAAAAATAAAAAGAGCTTTACAACAGTCTAGGGCTGTCGTAACTGGTTCCGAGAAACTAACATTAGAAATGCCCCAGTTTCCAAAAGATGGTGAGTTGGCAGAACCCGCCAGTGTCCATCCAATATCCATTCTCCCCTTGTTCCTTGCCACCAATCCATGACTTTGTCTAGGGTAGCACTGGGCCCAGAAATCACTCACTTTGTTTCGCAGCCAAGCGAGTTCATGCAACCCAGTTCTAATCGATAAGATGTGAGCAGAAGTCACTGAGCCAGGCTTTAACTTTATTCTTGCTATGGTTTTCTTCTATCATATGCCTGCAGCCATAGGAGAAGTCTGTGTGAAGAATGAATTCAAGCATTTTTTTCCAACCTCAGGAAACTTTAATACAGGATTGAAGATTGTGAAAGCCAGGTGGGCAAACACCTGGAAATAGCACAGGGGCAGAATACTTAATAGGGCACAACACCCATTTTCCCTTCTCACAAAAACGTAGGACTGTGGTTACACTCCAAATCTGGGGGCCTTTTCAAACTGATCTAGACAAAGCAGTGGCAGTGGACCAAGGGAAGGGAGGCAGGTGAGGTGTGAGTCTTTTCCTCTTCTAAATTCGGTAATTCTGAATGTCACAAAGGTCCTTTGTTTAAGAATACTGCATGTTCCAAGCAATTCCCGGAATTTTTTAAATGGCTTCCATTTTCCTGGAGGAGAAGCTTGTAATGATCTGCTTGGCTCTCTGCCTTTACAGCCTCTACTGGAGTCACTTAACCCCCAATTTGTAGGTTCACCCCTGCTCCCAACCCTGTCCCCAGGCAGGGGGGAAGGCATGTCAGCCCAGTCTCTCCTGTCTGTCTTCCCCAGTCACCTGGCTCATCTATGAAAAGCAAAGGATCCCTGTTAGTCTCTGGTAGAGGTGGACATTTGCTCCTGGGTAGAAGTCAAAAATAAAGATGTACTTTTTTTTTTTAACGTCTGTTTGAAAATATAAAACAAAAGTGAAATCTTAAAAAAATATGCGTTCCAAAATACTTGCCAAGTATCAGCACTCTGAGGTGGTCAAGGCATTTAATGTGTGGGGACCTTCTGCTTCCAAGTGGTCACAGGAGGCTTAGGGGATCCTTTAGGATTTGTTCTAATTTTCTGGGAAACATCCCATTTAAAGGGAGGGAAAAAACACTTGAAACAAATTCCACGAAACCTCCACTATACAACCCTTAACATACAGCCTCTTCCTTTAAAAGCTTGCACAGTTCTACACTATTCCACTTTCATTCAGGCAGGTCAAAATTGTGCCTTTTTTTTTTTTAATTTGAGGAAAGTAATTTGATGAAATTTAACAGCCCTAATGAATGAAGCTGAGGAAAATGCAGAAGGCTTTAATAACAGCAAACCTATTGAAATGAGAGCGCCTATGCATTGTTCTACTGACAGACTTACTAGCAGAGTAAACCAGATGTAGGTTGCCAAGGGAAGTCCAGCTTGTAAATTGTAAGAAAAGAGCATACTGCCAGGCTCTGCTGGGCTCTGTTATTTCTTCATTAAAATGCACTGTCAATCAGGTTGAAAAGAAATGTCTAATTAACACCATAGGGCACCAAAAAATTTAGTGTCAGAAACTCAGCTGCTATCCCCCTTTACAACTGTATCTCTCTAAGCAACTCCATTCCTCTCTTTCAACCCTTGCCCCACACTGGAGCACCCCCCCCAATATTCTACTAGCTTATGATCAAAAGCATCAGAGAAATTGCAAAATGCATCGCATGACAGAGTTTCCTCTTTATAGCTGTGAACTAGTTAGGACTGAAGTTTCCAGCAACTTCTCTTCTTTTTATGCCCTGCATCAATGCGAGGACCCAAACACAATGGGACATAACAAAGCCCAGTAGGTTCCATCTTGAGATCGCCCCATCCAAGATGTGGAAGAATTAAAAGAGTTCTAGCCTGGGAGAATCAAGTGCTGGCTTCACCACAAAACAACTTATGGGATTTTGGGGGAACGTTCCTTCCTACTGCTGAGCCTCAGCTCATAAACTTATAAAATAGTGGTAAGTAATAAGGTCTCATCAACCCACTTCAAGGATCGCTTCGAGGATCAAGTGAGTCAGGGTGTATAAAAGGGCTCTGTAATATCTGATGCACAATTATCATTACCCAGTGTCAGCAGAGTTGTGTCAGGTCCACGTAGGTTTGGTTAGCAGGAGGCTTACCGCGTCCTGACGCCTCCGGAAGGGTCACGTAGCTCCCCTCTGCTCACGCACTGCTCATGTCCAGGTTGTGAGGGCCAAGTGGAAGCTGAGGATGAACCCAGGGATGTGGACATGGGGGAAGTCTAGGAGGAGGGACTACAAGATGCCACTCAGAGGCTCTATGGCTAAGGCTGGAATCCTCTCCAGTCTCTTGACACACCAGACACCAAATACTGTCCGTTTCCCCATCGCCATGTCTTTCCCACTTCCACAGATTCTCTTCATTCTCATCTTTCTCAGGAGAACACGCTGGCTCTCCTGCCGTGGAATTCAACTGATCTTTATGGCACCTTCTCCCCTCTAATCCCTTCTGCAGGCAGCTACCAGATCAGCCCTAGCTAAACTCCATTTAACATACGTCCATCTCACTGTTTGAAGATTTCAGTGATTCCCTTGTGTCTACACACGAAGTCCCACGTGAAGTCCCACGTGAAGTCCCACGTTCCTCAACCGGCATTCACAGCTCCCCACAGGGATGTCACTGTCTGCTTTGCAGGCTCATTTCTCATCATCAATTCCCTCTTTAAAGCTGCCTGGTCATTTTGAAGTCTCTTCTTCCTTACTTGTACTTTTAACAGCCTTTTTTATTTCTTTAAATATATTCAACATAATAATTTCACATTCTGTGTGCGATCACACTAATGTTTGGTGTCTTCGCTGGTCTTATGCTACCATTTGTTGTTTTGCTGATTCTTACTCACAGTACCTAGTTTTCTCACATCTTCTCTGATTTGAAAAAAAAAACTGACTCATGTTCTTTATAATTTTCTCTAAAGAAATTCTTTGAAGCCTGGTTAAAGGAACATTCCTCCAGACAGGATTTTAGTTTGCATCAGCCATGTATCTCAGGCCCTATCAACCCTGGTTCTCTTGAACTAAATTCTTGGTTCAAGGTTGATCGAAACATCCGGGCAGTGTGAACTCAGGTCACACGCCTCCTTCAGAACCACAGAGCTGTGGTTCTGGGTTCTTAGGGATGTTTTTACCCCTGAGCTAAAACCAAAAGAGGACACATTCTTTTCTCACGTCCCTTTAGGGGGTTAGGTATTTTTTGTACAGGTGACCCACTGAAGTAGTTTCAGGTTTACCTGGTCTCTGATCGGACCTCCCTTGTCCTCATCACCCTTGGCAGCCCTTTAAAAGCAATGCTCCAGGCGGTCAGGGGCTGACACTGCTCACAGAGCAGCAGCTGGCTTCAGTGCTCATTACTTGCCTGCATCCATCTTTTGAGATGTTTTAGAATTTAAAGATTTCCCTTATTTTTTGAAAATTCAGCTATACATTTAAAAAGACTTAAAAAAATAATCTGGAATTTTTAGGGACTTCATAAGGCAGCGATTCTCAAGACATTGCTATGACCTCTATACAAGACCTCTTTGATCCTCCAGATAATCTTTTTGTTTTTCTAGCCTGCCGGGCACAGTAGCTCTTGTCTGTTTAGAACGCTGTAACCACCTCCACCCTGAGGCTTGCCTTGGCATTGCCAGAGGAGGCCCACTTCCCCCACGAAGCCTCTCCTCACTACTTCCCGCGACCTTCCCCGTTGTATTTTGCATTACCCAGCTGTCATGTACTTGTGCTGTCATCTGCCTTATCATGTTATTTATCTTTACTGGCTACCAGTTATTGAGGGTTTCTCATAGGCCAAGCGCAGAGCAAAGTACTTTTGCTATATTATATCATTTAACTTACAAAAATCTTGAAAGGTGACTCTAGCAACTATTTTTTGACTTTTTCTTTTTAACAGCAGTTTTCGATTCCCAGCAAAACTGAGAGGAAGGTACTGGGAAAGCCCATATATCCTCTGCTCCCCACCACCCCACATGCATAGCCTCACCTGTGGTCAATATCCTTCACCAGAGTGGGGTGTTTGTTACAACTGCTGAACCTACACTGACACATCATAATCACCCAAAGGGCATAGCTTACATTACAGTTCACTCCTGGTGGTGTACACGCTATGGCTTTGGATAAACGTATAATGACATGTATCTGCCATTATAGTAGCATACCAAGTAATTTCACTGCCCTAAAATTCCTCTGTGCTCCATGCATTCACCCCTCCTTTCCCAGCAACCACGTATCTTTTTACTTTCTCCAATGTTTTCACTTTTCCAGAATGTCATACAGTGGGAATCATACGTTATGCCGCCTTTTCAGAGTGGCTTCTTTTCACTTAGTAATACGCACTAAAGGATTCTCTATGTGTTAATGATAAAGTGACAAAAGATCAAGCGAAAAAAAAGGAATCTTTATGTCTTTTCATGTCTTGGTGGCTCATTTCTTTTTAATGATGTATTCATCCTGTCCTTTTGTCTGGATGTACCACAGTTATTTCTTCATTCATCCACTGAAGGGCATCTTAGTTGCTTCCAAGTTTTGGCAATTATGAATAAAGCTTCTATAAACATCGGTGTGCAGGTTTTTGCAGGGAGATAAGTTTTTCAACTCCTCTGAGTAAACACAATCGCTGGATTTTATGTAAAAGTATGTTTAGTTTTGTGAGAAGCTGATTTTATGTAGAAGTATGTTTAGTTTTGCAAGAAACCAAATTATTTTGTTGGTATCAACAAACTAATTCTAAAATTTATATAAAGAGGAAAAAGACCCAAAAGAACCAACATAATATTGAAGAACAAAGTTGGACGACTGACAATATTCAACTTTCAGGACTTACTATAAAGCTAAGTAGTCAAGACAGTGTGGTATTGGTGAAAGAAGATAAATATACCAATGGAACAGAACAGAGAGCCCAGAAATAATCCCAAATAAATATAGTCAACTGGCCCTTGGCAAAGAAGCAAAGGTGTTATAACGGAAAAAAGATAATCTTCTCAACAAACAGTGTTGGAACAACTGGACATCCACATGCAAAAAAAAAAAAAAGAATCTAGACACAGGTCGTATGCCCTTGACAAAGATTAATTCAAAATGGATTGTAGACCTAAATTTAAAATACAAAACTATAAAACTCCTAGAGGTAACATAGGAGAAAACCTAGACGACCTTGAGTTTGGCAATGACCTTTTAGATAGAGCACCAAAAGCACAACCCGTGAAAGAATTGATGAGCTAGACTTCACTAAAATTAAATCTTCTGTTCTACGTAAGACACGATCAAGAGAATGAAAAGATAAACTACAGACTTGGAGAAAATATTTGCAAAAGACGTGTCTGATAAAGGACTGTTATCCAAAATATACAAAGAACTCTTAAAACTCAACAACAACAAAAATGAACAACCAAATTTTTTAAACGGGCCAACAACCTTAACAGACACCTCACTGAAGATAACAGATGACAAATTAGCATATGAAAAATGTTCCACATCATGTCTTAAGGGAAGTGCAAACTGAAGCAGTGAGGTACTACTATGGACCTATTGGAACAGCCAAAATGCAGAGAACACTGGCAATGCCAGATGCCGCTGGGGATGTGGAACAACAGGCGCTCGCCTTCACTGCTGGTGGGAATTCAATACGGCCACTTCGGAAGACAGTTTCTCACAAACTAAACAGAATCAGCAGAAGGAAGAAAGTAAAAAAGACAACAGCGGTAATCAATGAAATTGAAATCAGAAAAGCATTAGAGAAAACGAATGAAACAAAAGCTGGTTCCTCAAAAAGAAAAAAATCCATAAAATGTATGAGCTTTTGGTAAGACTGACATATTAGTTTTCTAGGGCTGCTGTAACCAATTACCACAAACTGTGTGGTTTGCAACAGAAACCGACTGTCTCAGAGTTCAGGAGGCTGGAAGCCCAAAGGTGTCAGGAGGGTTGGTTCCCTCTTGGGGCTTGGAGCGAGCGTCTGTCCCAGGCCTCTCCTAAACTCTGGCGCTTGCCAGCAGACTCTGGCGTTTCTTAGCTTGTGTACACATCACTCCAATCTCTGCTTCCATATTCACATCATCTGCTTCTTTGAGTCGGTGTGTGTTTCAAGTCTTTTTTTTTTTATTCTAAGGACACAAGTCGTTGAATTTAGGGTCCAACCTAAATCTAGGATGATCTCACATCAAGATCTTTATCTTAATTACATCTGCAAAGATCCTCATTCCAAATAGGGTGACATTCTGAGGTTTCAGGTGGACATACCTTTGGGAGGCCACATTTCAACCCACTACAACTGACAAAGATTAAAAAAAGAAGGCATGAATCACCAGTATCAGGAACAAAACAAGCGATAACCTTGCAGATCTTGCAGCTAACTTTTGAACAGTATTCTTTCAGTATTTTTTAATGGCTTCAAGATCTGCAGGGATATCCCCTGGCGAGTCCTGGTTTCACAGGAGAATTCTACCACACATTTAAAGAAGAATTAATACCAATTTACACAAACGCTTTCAGAAAATAGAGGAGGAGAGAACACTCTTGAACTCATTTTGTGAGACTCGCTTAATACCAAACCAGACAAAGGCACACAAAAAACAAAGCTGCGTCCCTGCATCTCTCATGAACTTATATATGGAAGTCCTCAACAAGATACTTGCAAATCAAATCCAGTAATGAATAAAAAGAATTATACCATGACTAACTG